AACGGCTTGGAGGCCACGTTTGGACAGGACGACTACAAGAGAGAGGCAACACCATATTCGAGCGAAATGAGGACCACTTTACCTGCGAAAACGCGCAGCTCGGACAGAACGTCTGCACTCATAAAAGTTGATAAACGGCGCAATGGCATCCGCTCTTTCAAAATGTACTTATTTGCTTCCCTTTTCCTGATATTTCTTACAACCAAAGCAGTATTAAACTGAGGAGTACTCTCGAGTGTTTCGTGGAGATCTTGATAGTTCTTTATTTTAATGTCACTAAGATAAGAAGATAGAGAAAATCGTAAGAGGGAAGATAGACCATAGCCCCTTAGCTCGTTGCTTTACCTTTAGCAGTCGACGGCCAATAATGTTCCATTATCTTATGAACCGAACCCATTTTCACAGCGTGGACTCTCACCATCCGCGAGAACGTATCATTTGTCACACCACTATTCTGAAATCCCAACACGAGGCGGATTGTCGTCCTGTAGAGTTTGGAGTCGAGGCGTTCTGCGTGCTGCAACAATTGTGTAGAAACCTTTGTGCATTGTGTCTCTATTTCACGCAGCTGTTCCTCCACCGCAGGCAAGGCATTCCGCTGAAGGGGAGACATGCGTTAGTGCAATTCACAATGGCAATGAGGAGGACTTCTTGCTGTAGGTAGCAGCTGTCGTCCAAGGTATTGTCAATAGAGTAGATTAGCTGACCTCACAATTACCAATCATTTGGCATGATGTTGGATTATCTTGCGAAAGATGAGGCTGTGACATCGCTCCACCACCTCACAATGCATTTGGTCGTGGGTGACTCGCCTCAATGACGACAGTGTGGACAAATGCTTTCGCCAGCACGACAATTCTACTCTACCACTAAGGGTGGCTAATGGTGTGGTGACTGACGCTGAAAGATGGTGGACATCATGCCACCTTGTGGCATTTGCGGTGACCATCGGCAAACGGTAGCAGCAGGAGGGATGGAAGGAAGGAAGGATGGATGGAGGGAGGTGGGTAGGTAGAGAGGGAGGAGGGGTTGGGAGGGAGAGGAAAGAGGTGCAAGTCTTACCAAACTATGGTGTGGAAAACAGTCCACACAAGGAATCCAAATAAGGCGACAAGTGTTGGCAGTCGATTGGGTTATTTCGAGAACGTATCCGAGAAGACTTCGCGCACTGGCGTCATCGACAGTCCAGGTGACTATGGTACACACGGTTGCGTTATTTTCACTATGTGTGTGTGAAGTGGCATTTTTAATTATTCGAAACTCCTGATGATCGCCGTACTCTGGCTGAGGTAGTAGACAACCAGAACCGAATTCTTCCTTCTCTAGTGTTCCGAGAATGTAGGCTGTGGCTGTCACGTTGCGCGTCTTCACTTCGCTTTTGGCTACAAAGAGAAATGCACGAGAGATGGCATTTTGGTCTGCGTGAGGTAGGCGATTTGGATGGACGAGTTAAGCAGTGTCGACTTCGTGATGTGAGGTGATGTGGGAGGTGGAGTGGAGGACTTTGCTCCGTGAGAATGCCACATTTGTGGGAGTGCGATTGGTGAGGTCGTGGATCAGCAGGTTGTCGGGTTGGTTGTG